AAGTAAAATAAACTGAACTGACAGTAACTTTGAAATCTTCAATCACTGAAAGCTAAAAACTCATTTTTTTCTTTCTATGCTCATCTTTCAGAGTACCAATAACTGTCTCTCCTTTAACATCAGAAATTTGGTAGAATTCAGTCATCTTTCATGCAAGGTGCATCAGGTTCTGATTCCTTCTATCATTCTGAAAAGTAGAGGAAAAGTATATGGCTAGCAGTGGGTCAGTTGGGTCAGTATGGAGATGGAGGCCACTGAAAACTGGCCCTTCTTTTGTGCATGTATTTGAGACTGCAATGTTTGGGGCAGTGCATATCACAGATGAAATCATCCTTATGAAATGTGAGTTCTTGTACATCTCATTCACAAATGCCAGATTACATTACACTACATTTTGAAAACATCTTATGCCAAAGTCCCAGAAGGAGACTAAGTATAAACTCAGAAAAAATTCATTATCTCTGTGGAATGCTTTCAAATAGCAATAAAATATACACTACTCCTTAATGCCATAATGATTTTTTTTATTGTTTATACCATTTTTCCCCAAATTTATTTTGGAAAAAATACAGCCTTGCCCAGTGCCTAATAGCTGCCTTGAATATAGCTGGCAGGATCTTCTGATTTCTGGAAAAGGTATTTATTAATGTTAAAGGAAAATCACAGAAGTAGAATTATATTAAGGGTTTCTGAAAAACTCCACTGGCAGCTCCCTAAAAGCCTTAATCCCTCTATAAAAGAGCATCAGGTTTTGTACTAGTATACTTTTAAAAGTTAAGGACTACATCAATCTGTTCAACCTGTTCACATTATTTTAGGTGCTTATCACATGTGTGGCAACCTCTACCCCAGGAGTGAGTCATCTGCCTTCTATATACTCAAAACAACAGGATTCTGTTATATTATGCACGCATGGTAAGTCACTTCAGTCGTGTCTGACTCTGTGCGACCCTATGGACTGCAGCCAGCCAGGCTCCACTGTGCATGGGATTCTCAGGCAAGAACACTGGAGTGGGTTGCTGTGCCATCCTCCAGGGATCTTCCTGATCCAGGGATGGAACCTGAGTCTAACCTGCACTGGCAGGTGGGTCCTTTACCACTAGCGCCACCTGGGAAGCCCTCTGCTACATTATACTGCTTTATAATAAATGAGAACTGTTCCATTTCTAACCCACTTTTCATTAATTTAACTACCAAAACACTTAATTTTTTCTGCAAACAATATATTATTCAAAGACTTGATAAATGATGAGTTGGGAACTATTTTTAACTGCCTTACACAAATCTCTCCCCATTTGAAAACACTTTAAAACTCTGTATTAATTGCATAATTGAGAATCATAACTAAAACTTCATATGAATCACAGATTATAGAAATGTAAAGTTGCAAAGGTTTTTGGCAATTAATCATAAGAACTACATTCATGGGATTCTCCTTCAAAGGGAAACTTGTTTGAATGGATGAACTTAGAGTAGTTCAATTCCAGAAACAACAACAAAAAAGGCAAACACTACTAAAAAGAGAGAGAATGAAGTTTAATCTTTGTCCTGCTTAATCAAAGAGAAGACGCAATGAGACATAACAACTTAGTGAAGCGAGAAACAACAAAAGGACTAGGAAGATTTAGAAAAGTTTCTAAAACAAACTAAAAAAAATAAAAAACATAGTATCTATTCTTCCCTCCATCCCCATCTTTATTTAAAATATAGTATCAAGGTAGTATAATATACTAAATGAATAACTAGACAAGTACTGTCTGATATGGTAGTCACTAAACACATGTGGCTACTAAGCATCTGAAACGTGGCTAGTCTAATTTAAAAGTGTAGTACTGAAAAAAAATTAAAATCTCACTTAATGATTTTATAATGGTTACGCCTTGAAATGGCCTGAGTTTGAGTAAACTCTGGGAGTTGGTGATGGACAGGGAGGCCTGGCGTGCTGCGATTCATGGGGTCGTAAAGAGTCGGACACGACTGAGCGACTGAACTGAACCTTAAAATGATAATCTTTCATGTTTTAAACCAAATAAAAACATTATTAAAATTAATGTCACCTATTTATTTTAACTTCTTAAATGTAGCTACTTAAGAAAAATTTCCTGGCAGTCCAGTGGTTCAGTGAATAAAGAATCTGTCTGTAATGCAGGAGACACCAGAGATATGGGTTCAATTCCTGAGTCGGGAAGCTCCCCTAGAGAGGGGCATGGCAAGCCACTTCAGTATCCTTGCCTGGAGAATCCCATGGACGGGGAAGCCTGGCGGGCTACAGTCCACGGTCGCAAGGAGTCCGCCACGGCAGAAGCAGTGAGCACAGCACCAGCGGCTGGGACCCTGCACTCCCACTGGAGGAGGCCCGAGTTCAAGCCCTGGTCAGAGGACTAGGACCACGGAAGCTGCACTACAAGGCCAAAAAAGGAAGAGAAAAAATGTCTTAAACGTGGCTGCTAGAGTATTTAAAATTAAGTGTGTGGTTAATCATTATACTTCTTCTAGATACAGCTAGACAGACAGTAAATGCTATAAGGAAAGCCAGAAGAAATCAAGGTATTAAAGAAAACTTTATGAAGGTATCAAAACTTAGAAGAAGGAAAGGATTCAGGAAAGCTGAGGAAAGTGCATTCCACCTTAAAGGAACCATATTATATGATAGAAATAAGAGGGAATCTCTCAAACTCACTAGAGAAGGGGATGTTCTCAAAGAATTAATCCTCCTCATGTGATAATAGTGTTTAGGTCAGAAGAAGTCATAGGGCTAAAGACACACATTTACAGAACATGTTTGAAATGAGGCAGACTGCCTTCTACAATAAATTAGAACACTGCAAACCTTTAAATACACAAGAAGGAACTTGGTTGGCTTAGTCCACTGCTCTATTTTTGATACTCAAAAGAGTGCTAGGCATGTAATAAAATAAACATTTGTCCAATAAATGAATGAACAATGAACTCCTGATACTATAGAATGGGGTGGTGCTTTCCAGTAATCTTTAAGGCAGGGACCCTGGGAGGAAAAGGTAGTAAAAATAGAAAGAGTGTGAAGGAAGGAGAAAGCATCCATATTAGTACCTGCCAGAGACTAATTAAGTTTACTTTTTGTATAGCTCAAAAAAAGAAGTAAAAAGATTAAAGCACAAAACCAACTCTGCATAATTTTGGTTCTACATATTATCTAAGAACTTGAAGAAATAATAATCAATAAGGATTTATGAAATCCAAGAACATATTCCTTTTACTGTATTTTTTTTCCTGTGAGAAAAATGTTGAATGAGAGAGAGAAATAATATTCCAACTACTTTGAGATTAATTAAAATAAAGACTAAGAGGTTTTAAAGACTTGAATGATTGATAACTATAGGACCTGGTGGCTCAGATGGTACAGAATCCACCTGCAATGCATGATAACTAACTGGGTTTGATCCCTGGGTTGGGAAGATCCCTTGGAGAAGGGAACAGCAACCCCCTCCAGTATTCTTGCCTGGAGAATTCCATGGACACAGGAACCTGGTAGGCTACAGTCCATGGGGTCACAAAGAGTTGGACATGACTGAGTGACTAAGACACACACATCTAAATAAGTATGTGATTTCAGAATAAAATGTAATGATAATTCTCAAATAAGAAGTTAAGTAATGTGAAATAATCATCTGAAAATACAAAATAGGAAAAAGGAAGAAAGGTTTTAATACAGATATTTTTCTCATCTTACAAAGGGAGGAACCAGATTCTATTTATGGTTGAGGTAAATTACCAGAAAAAGTCAAGTTAAAAAAAATTAAGATTACTAGCAGAGCACAAAACACTGTATTCTGTTCAGATCACATAAGAAAATGTTAAAAAATATAAAGTTAGAAAGAAATCACAGGAAACATAAAGACAGAAAAGAAACACCAAGAAAGCATTTTATAAAGCTTACAGATTACCAATTACATAGTAAATAATTACATTCACCTATTAAAAATCCCTTTGATATGATTTTTGAAGTGTTTGCAAAAGATATTTACAACAAATAGACTTAGAAAGCTTAAGAGGAACATGAAGTCAAAGTGAAAGTCACTCAGTCGGGTCCAACTCTTTACTACCACATGGACTATACAAGTCCATGTAATTCTCCAGGCCAGAATACTAGAGTAGGTAGCTGTTCCCTTCTCCAGGGGATCTTCCCAACCCAGAATCTTCAAACCAGGGTCTCCTGCATTGCAGGTGGACTCTTCACCAACTAAGCTACCAGGGAAGCCCCTTAACAGGAAATGGTAAAGATAAAAAGAAAACGGGATTATATCAAAGTAGAATCCAAGAAATAAAAACACAGCATGAGGAAGAACTGTTTTTTAAAAATCCACAATTCACACAACTTTATGTACTAAACAATAATGCTTGAGAAATACATATATGTAAAAACTGTTAAACATGCAAAAGTAAATGGATATAAATTCGGAAGTACAGGTCTTTAGAAGACTTCTTCAGACATACAATTACAGTCAGAAAATATAAATAAGTTGAAATAAAAGGTCATTTGATGTCAAACAAAATAGGCCTCCCATGCAAGAGTTTGGACTTAAAAGCAAAAGTGTAATTTGTTATTTTTTGTTTATTTGTTTGTTTGTTGTTTTTGTATAATTTATTATAAAGAATGTTCTTTTATATAGTTCTGTGAAGGATGGAAGGTGAAAGGGCTGAAAATTGGAAGACAATCTTCCTGAAAGGAAGAATGAATGGCAATCAGAATTTCACTGCCCAGGGTAGTCCAATTAAACAAATACATTTCTAGGAAATGCTACTGGAAGGCTGGTTCCCAGCTGGGAATACTCTATATAGCTCTTTACTGTCTACAGAGTGCTTTCACATTCATATTACTTTCAATACTGTAACAAAAGGAAGAACGGTAGATGAGAATAAAACAGAATCTCTTGGAAGAAAGGAACATGACTCAAGGAGGGAAATTCCTGTTGCCATAAGAGGACTGCTGGTATATAAAGTGCCTTACATATGCCAGTAAGAATTCTCTTCCATGATCTGCTTTTCTACTCCCCCCAAGAAGAATATCAAAGCCAAAGCAGCAGCAACAAGCATGAGTGTGAAGGTCATGGCTACAGTCCTGGCTGTGATATTATGTGCTGCAATTGTTCAAGGTATATGGTATCTTTTATTTCTCAACCTATAAATGTCTTTTCTAAAGCTTCAACTATCTTTTCTAATGCTTCAAATGTCTTTTCTTTCACTTTTATCTCAAAATATACAATGAATTTTTATTTATCCTAAAACATTAGCAGTTGCTACAGATTTGGCAGAGAATATTGGAAATGTTTAACTGAAACTAGAGATGATAAGTTTAACAGAGTTTATTTAGCTACAAAATCTGACAAGAGCCTTTAGGAATAGTTTTAAACGTCTGTCAAGAAGATTTTAAGAGATAATGTTATTAGCTTTCTGGAAAAGTTCTTGAGCATAAAAGCAACAGGCAAATAAGCTTGATCTCTAATAAACTTTCATTTTTCCCTTTATTCTTTAATGGTATGCTTACAAATTTAAAGAGAAAACTGTCAACTTCTTACTTAAGTTCTTTTCCTTCTAACAGCAGTGTTGAGTGCTATTTGACAAATTACTATCTCTAGCCTCACTAAAAACTTGGCTCACATTCTTCATCAAGATTATAAAACAGAGCCCACTGCTGCAAATTAAATGTGTTAGTAACTGATGCTACAATCTGTTCTAGGCTTCCCTATGTTCAAAGGGGGACGGTGTCTTTGCATAGGCCCTGGAGTAAAAGCAGTGAAAGTGGCAGATATTGAGAAAGTCTCTATAATTTACCCAACTAATAACTGTGACAAAACAGAAGTGATGTAAGTCATGGACTTGGTGAAGGTAATAGTTGGGGGGGGGGGTGCTTTTTTGTGTTGTTTTTCTTATGTTTTCCCATTGAAAATTTAAGACTGTTTTGGACCTTCCCTTAACAGTATCACCCTGAAAACAAATAAAGGACAAAGATGCCTAAATCCCAAGTCAAAGCAAGCAAAAGCTATTATCAAGGTAGGTTACCAGATTACTTCCATTTTATAATCTGCTTTAACCTAGACAAATTTTGGGGGGGGGAAAAACTGACAACTGCAGAATGGTTTTGTTATGATTCTGTGTAAAGTATTCTGATAAGGGATCTCTGGTTATGATCAACTTTCCTTTCCTGCTACACATTTTTGCACGTCAACTCTTAAATCACTAGGAAACAAGAACAGTCCAAGTCTGTAAAAAATTTTCTCATTACAGAAAATTCAAAGAAAGAATTCTTAAAAATATCAAAACATATGAAGTCCTGGAAAAGAGGATCTGAAAACCTAGAACAAGTACAACTGTGACTACTGAAAAGATAAGAACTCTGCAGTAAGGAAACTGACTTTCTCCTGCCGGCTGCAATGAACATTCACGCATTTCTAGGTTAGGAAACTCTCTAGGAGATTTGATACTCATAACTCTTTTGCTGTGGCTATGAAAGCATTTCTGTCTCCAGAAGTTATCTGTCTGTACTTGACCTATATTTCATATTACAATATATTATTATTACTAGAATTAAGACCATGACCCATAAGTCAAAGCATCCATGAGTATAATAATCATTCCTTAAATAATTTTTATGTCAATTAATATTCCTTTTCCCAAAAGTTTTATATATATATATATATATATATATATATATATAGAGAGAGAGAGAGAGAGAGAGAGAGAGAAAGTCCTTAAACATCATCTTGTTTTATAAAGAAGGCTGTAATTCATGAAATGTACCATGAAGACAATTATAAACAAATGGTAACCGGTAAGAGTGCAAATATTTAATAACAAAATGAGTAGCTCTGGTGTTTTGAATTTTTTAAATAACCATTTTTTCATTGAGATATTTGAAGCAATTAGGATGTATGTGTTAACCATGAATTTTGGTTTTATCCATTCTTACAAAGTATAGTAATACTTTGGACACATTGCAAATATGAAATATTTTTGTCTACAAAAGAAAAATACTGAAAAATAAATAATATGTGCATATCTGGCAATCACATTTACTTTCTGTGATTCTTTGTCTTAGAAAAATACCCATCTATTTTTCAGTCATGCCTGTACTATAAAATTTAGAGATATCTAAGATAGTTTCACTTTGGAAAAAATCAAGTAATTTTTCTCTAATAAGCTACCACAACCCTCCTTAAAACAGAAACAAATATATGTTTTCCAGAAACATAAGATACCATAAACAACTTTACCTTGTAATTCAAGAAATACACAGCTACCTGTCATCAGAAAAGAATTGTTCTGAAATATATTTTAATCAGTAGTTGCAAAGGACGACTATCTCTTTCATTTTTTTTAAAGGATCTTCCTACACTCAAACTGCTTTCCTACTCAGGGCAAATTTCTTATTATGTGAGATTTGGCAGGAGGCCAAAAAGAAAAAGCCAAAGAAAGGTGGCCAGAACAAGGTCTCAGCAAAACCACTCCTACCCTAGACTTTGAACTCCAGCAGGCACCACAAAGATGCTATCAGTAAGATATATTTAAGGCAGCAGCAGCAACAGTGTAAGTCTGATAGTGGTGACTTCTAACATGTTCCTGTAGCATGACTGTGGCTATAATCCTTCCTGCCACCTAGCACCCTTAGGTTTTTACATTTTCCAAATCCAATTCTTCAGTCTTCCTGTGAATTCTTCAACTACCAATTAAATTTCTTTCCACTGAAGTGAGCCAGAGCTGGTTTCTCTGTGTGGATCCAAAAACCCTAGCTGTTACAGCACTCTTTATATAGACATCTATACACTGGGAAAACTAAAATATTTATAGAATTACCAAAAATCAGGTTATTTTTGTTTATTTGAAAACAAAAGAACAATTTAAATGCATCTTTTGCATATCCTTATTATCAATATCAAAGAGCCTACCATAAAACAGATTAGAGAATGAACAGAAAAGTAAAGAGAAGAGTAGGGTGGAACCCCTGGAGCCCAACAGTCCTACTGACTAACTTTTGACTGGTGCCTACAAGCAATAATGAGAAGCCAAAATGTTATCCAGGAGATCTGTATATAAATAAATAAACACATGAATCATATGTTTATTATATGGTATATTATATAGATATACAGTATAAATATGTGTGTATATATCATAAATCTACATAAATTTCTATATAGATATAGGACTTCTATAAGAATTTCCTGGATAGGTTTAAAACTTGGATCTATCATTTGACTATTTACAGTGATTTTTTTAAAGAATATCTTTAAAAATAAAAAAATTCACTGAGTAAGAGCTACATTATAAATTTGATATTTTTTAAAGTAAAGTAGCATAGATCAGTTGGAGAAGGCAGTGGCAACCCAGTCCAGTACTCTTGGCTGGAAAATCCCATGGACATGGACAGAGGAGCCTGGTAGGCTGCAGTCCACGCGGTCTCGAAGAGTCAGACACAACTGAGTGAGTTCAGTTTCACTTTTCACTTCTGTGCATTGGAGAAGGAAATGGAAACCCACTCCAGTTTTCTTGCCTGGAGAATCCCAGGGACAGAGGAGCCTGGTGGGCTGCTGTCTATGGGGTCGCACAGAGTCGGACACAACTGACGCAACTTAGCAGCAGCAGCATAGATTCAGTATATTATCATTGAGAAACAATACTTAAATTTCTTCACAGAAAAATAAGACATAAAAGAATTAATGCTGTTGTTCTGTTGCTAAGTTGTGTCCGACTCTTTGTGACCCCATGGAATACAGCACACCACGCCTCCCTATCCTTCACTACCTCCCAGACTTTGCTCAAACTCATGCTCATTGAGTCTGTGATGTCATCCCAACCATCTCATCCTCTCTCACCTCCATCTCCTCCTGCCCTCAATCTTTCTCAGCATCATAATTAAAATACTTGGGTCAAAAATCCTTCCCACCTCAATACCTTTACACATACTATTCCCTTAGCCCGTTTCTTCATTAAACTAATTCCTACTTGCCACTTACATCTCAGCTTAAATGACATTTCTTCCCTATTTGTCTTCAGAACACTCTATTTTTTCATGACACTATTTGTTGCAAATAAAGAAGTATTTTTGTGCTTAATATATGCTCTTCCACAAGTGCAAGCTCAGTAAGAAAGTTACTATAATCCTAGCCCATAGTACACTGTCTAGCAGATATTGGATTCTTGATAAATATTTAAGAATGGAATAACTAAATGGCAATAGAAACTAAGGGAAAGGAACTTACATCAAGGAATATCATGAAGGAATGCATAATGGTAGAAAAGTACAAGTAGAGTTTTTAAAATAATAATTAAATTAGTTTGGTTGAAGTGAAGATGAAGGATATCAAATGTCGAACTGAACAACCTTGAATTTTACTATCTGTAAAATGGGGATTCATTAAATGTTCATGAATAAGATAAGTACCCTAACTAAGTTATTTCCTAGTTATTCTAAATAATTCTGGGGATGGCTTAGAAGATTGACTGGAACTAGGAAAGCTTGGGAAAAGGAGTATGGTGCCATAGCTCAGGTCTGTATTTGCCAAACTTCAAGTCATTCTCATACCATCATCACAAATTTTTTTTTTTACCATATTTCTGATCAATCTTCATTATTCTCAGCAACTTCTTAACACTTTTATTTTGCTTCCATGTGCATTAAAAGCAAACTTTCACTACTGTACAAGTGAAATGACTTCCTATAGAAATAAAATATAACGATAAAAGGAAACAAGACAAATTTTTAGAAAGGTACCACCTCCCAAGACTGAACCAGGAGAAAACAGAAAATATGAACAGACCAATTACAAGTACTGAAGTTGAAACTGATTTAAAAACTCCCAAAAAACAAGTGTCTAGGACCTGATGACTTCACAGCAATTTCTATCAAACATTTAGAGAAGAGCTAACACCTATCCATCTGAAACTATTCCAAAAACCTGCAAAAGAACATTCTCAAACTCATGCTATGAGGCTACCATCATCTTAATACCAAAATCAGACAGAGATACCACAAAAAAGAAAACTACAGACCAGTATCACTGATGAACACAGACACAAAAGTCCTCAACACAGTAATAGCAATCAGAATCCAACAAGACAGTAAAAGGATCAGACACCACAATCAAGTGGAATTTATGCCAGAGATGCAAGGATTTTTCAATGTCCACAAAGCAGTACGATACACAACACTGGAAAAAACTGATGAATAAAAACTATATGATCATCTCAATAGATGTAGTAAAAACATTTTGACAAAATTCAACACCCATTTATGAAAAAAATTCTCCAGAAAGTGGGCACAGAGTGCAAACTACCTCATCATAATAAAGGCCATATATGACAAACCCACAGCTAACATTGCACTCAGTGGTAAAAAGCGGAAAACCTTTCCTCAAGATCAGGAAGAAGAGGATGTCCACTCTCACCACTTCTGTTCAACATAGTTTTAGAAGTCCTAGCCACAGAAATCAGAGAAGAAAAAGAAAATAAAATGAATCAAATTGGAAAGAAGCAAACTGTCACTATTTGCAGATGACATGATACTATACATAAAATAATCCTAAAGATGCTACTAGAAAACTACTAGAGCTCATCAATGAATTCAATAAAGTTGCAGGATACAAAATTAATATATAAGTCTGTTGCATATCTATATACTAACAACAAAAGATCACAAACAGAAATTAAGGAAACAGTCCTATTTACCATCACATCAAAAAGGATAAAATATCTATGAACAAATCTACCTAAGAGGGCAAAAGACCTTTACTCCAAAAACTATAGAAACTGAAAATGACACAAACAGATGGAAAGATACACCATGTTTCTGGACTGAAGAATCAGTATTATCAAAATGACTACACTACCCAAGGCAATTTACAGATTCAATGCAATCCCTAACAAAACACCAGTGACATTTTTCAAAGAATTTTTAGATCTATATGGAAACACTAAAGACCCCGAATAGACAAAGCAATCTTGAGAAAGAAAATGGAGCTGGAGGAACTAGGCTCCCTGACTTCAGACTATACTACAAAGCTATAGTAATCAAAACACTATGGTACCATAAACCATAACAGAAATATAAAAACAGAAATACAGATCAATAGGATAGGACAGAGAGTCCAGAATACAGTCACACACCTATGGACAATTTATGCAAAGGAAGCAAGACTATACAATGGAGAAAAGACAGTCTCCTCAATAAGTGGTTCTGAGAAAACTGGACAGCTACACATTAAAATATGAAATTAGAATATTTTCTAATACTACACACAAAAAGAAATTCAAAA